ATTGCTACTCACTTTAGTGAACGCTTTGTATTTATGAAGATGATTATCCATCTCCTAAAGTCCACTTTATACCAGCCTGAGCTTTTTCCATTACAGTTCTTGAAGATTACTGACTTCATTCACACTATTGGGAGGAGTCTGTATATGACTATGTATATTTTTAAGGAAAAACAAACTTCAATCCATAGAAAGAATAGCCTTCTTAAGAAAATAAGAACAATTCCTAGTGCTCCTGCCTGCCTCATTCTAGCCTGATGGTTATCATCCCATGTATCTACGTTAGTGGATATGGCATTTTTCTCTGTTTCCCACATTAAAGTATTGAATCATTTTTCTATGCCTGGTTAAAAACTACCTTATTTAATTAAGTTAAGAGGTGCAATAAATAGGCCTAACCAAGTGACTTTTAAGACTTGAATTTATAAAGGCATGTTGGAATACATGTCCTTACTGCTGTCAAAGCATTGGTGGGTTTCAGGCTTGCAAATGTCTGTGAACCCAAGCCTACATTACATGCTCCCAGATGCTTGGATTAGAGGAAGCTGTAGAATTTCCAAGTGCAGTTTATTACTACCAGTGTTGAACTGCTAGCAATTGAGGGACAGAAGGAGCAGCACTGGAGCTGCAAAGATTTGCCAGATCTTAAGTGTGTGCTTTAGCAGGGGAGCCACATTTGGTTCCTACGTGCAGGAGTGTTTCATTGTCCTGAGGTAGGGCAGTTTTACTGTAGGTAACTTCTTATGTGTTATACTGTTCAAAGATTTTTTAAAATATAAAATCTAGTGAGTTAAACTAATCTCAACACTTCCTCCCTCCTGAAGATCTGTAGCAGTTAAAAGCATATTCTAGGAGAATCAGGCTCACAGAGACAGAAATAAATACACACAAGCGATACAATCAGGTAGTAACTGGAGCCTTTGAGAATGAGGTTTGTTGACTCTATTTCTTGGGTTTCGTCTGTGTGATTAGATCAGCTCTAAACTGAGAGCCTGTGTAGCCAGATCCTGTGTTTCCATTTATAACATCAGATAACACCTTCCATCTCAGGATGTCTCTCTCTGCACATATATTTTTAGTATTGTCTGAGGCAGACAAGGGTTGTAATCCCCATATTATACAGAATTAAATATGGAAATGTAGACAGGCAGAGGTGAAGCATTTTGCCCAAGGTTATAAGGAAAAAATCTGCCCAGTTCAGGAATATAATGCAGATATTCTCTTTTTCTTATACTTTAACTACGGAACTATTGTTCCTTCCTCTTTAGAATGCTCTCAGTGTTTTTAAATGCTGCAATTATCCTTTGACTACTTTCTATTTAAAGACAGGGATATACACTCAGCACTTCTCTCAAAGGCACAACAGCAGCATATATTTGTTAACAGATTGTTCAGGTTTCTCCAAACTCCTGAAGAAAAAGTCATTATTATCTTTGTAGGGCTAATATGGAGTTAAAAGTCAGACTCATCCTCAATATAAGAAAAAAAAGTGAACACTATATTCCAGATAATTCAGAAAGAATACTTTTTCTCATGAAAATTAGCATTCAGTATTGCTTTATTATCACTATTGCTTTATGAGGGAGAGAGTATAATAACAGTGGCATAATCTTTGTGTAAAAGTCTTCTAATAATCTTGTTTAGTAATATCTTGTTTCCAAAATGAGCTGCTGGCAATCTGAAGAAATGAAATTTTCCTTCTGTTGTTTCTGATTTCTTAGAGAACTGCCTGGTGAGCATTATTGTCCTGCTTTATGGGGACACTATGAGACAACTAAATATGCGATCAAATAAGCAAACAAAGCAGAGTCCAGTGCAGGAAACTGTGCAGGTTCATTTCATTTCTCAGTCACTTCCTCTGCTGGACAGAAACACAATACAAACCAGACAGAGCTGTTTATCAACCCATTAAGATGGAAAACGTCACACTGAGTCATTCCAACACGTCTGCTTCACTAAACAGAGAAAGAATTTCAGCAACAAACCTTATACAAGCTAATATTTGAAAAAATAGTGTTAGATGGAAATAATAGGTTTTCCTTTATTGTCTAGTATAATGTGAGGCATCTAAATTCAGTTATGGGCACCTTAGCATTATTGCCTAGTTACATTTGCCTGATTATATTTGCATAAGGGAAAAGCAGTCATGTTTTTTGTGAGAGGGCTTTACAATTTTTACTGTTTACTTGGGGATGCAGCGCTGCTCACTGGTGGGCCCCACATGTTGCCTAGCTCTACATGAAAAGAGGGCATAAGGAGAAGGCTATTGGATGCCCAAGGCTTGTTAAAGTATGGGGTTGGGAAACTTGGAGGCTTATGCTTGTCAGAAGTGACTCTGGGTGTTGTATGTCAATGTAGTTCTAATTCCAGATGACATACTGCACATATCTTCAGGTAAAATTAATGTAATAAGGGAACTATCTATGTTAATAAGTACTGGCTCAGCTAATACATTGTGTGCATCTGGTAATCATAAATTTTCTGTCATTTTAAATCCCTATTCCATTTTAAGGATAAATTACTCCTTGTTTGGAAATGGGCAAACATTTGGCTGCATGATAAGAACAAGTTATAGACTGTTGAGAGAGATGTTCCCGGGTGAGTCCTCCAGGTTATATTTGTCTGTATTAGCTTCAGAAGACGCTGCTGAACAACTGCAACCTGAGAACACAAGAGCACCACAGCAGAAATGAAACAAGTAAAACACAAATGCTGAGACATGACATTTAGTAAAACAAGCACCAGAGTCGGAATCTAATATTCTGCTACTATGAAGAGCAGAACAACACTAAAACAAGTCAGAGCTCAAGTTTGATCTCACAAAATCCTTTTCTCTGCCTGACATGGTATCTTATCAGTAAGCTTGCTATAAACCTGCTTCTGCTGCTAGTCAGCACGGAACAGTAAAGTTGGTAGTGTTGCTATTAGTTTCGTAATGAGAATGATATACGAGCATGAAAGTAGGTTTATTTGGAATATCCAGCTGAAGTTATCAGTCCGGAGGCCGTTCTTTTGGGTCTTCAGAAGACTTACACGCAAAAGATCAGAGTGCTTTGTAAAAAAGAGGGTTTGCAATCCATCGCCATGCCCGGAGCCGGCGGCAGGTGTCACTGCAGAAGGCGCAGAAAACGCGCTCGCTGTTCCGCAGCCGCGCTCGCTCGGCGCCCTGTGAGTCCCTGCCGGGCTCCGCTGCCACAGCCTGGCCGCGGGCTCGGTGCCTCTGCCTGCGCCGCCGTCATCAGCTGCCTTATCAGCTGATAGTTATCAGCTGCACATCGCCAGAAACGGAGAGAAGAGCGCGTACCCACTCGTTAATAAAGGGCCCGGATGCTATCCTTGTTTGAATGTACACTGCAGCTCTCACTCGGGAGAAGAGGGCTGTTCGGTTGTGCCTTGCTGTCCCAGGATGTATTAATTGTTCAACACACATTCGTGCTTTCTGCCTGCTGTCTGAGACTGGTGGTGTTTGTGTACACTCTAGAGACAGTCCAGACTTGCTCAGAAACCACACTAACTTCCCTATGTGCACCCCAGGGCATGGGCTCTTCCCAAAGCTTTTCCATTTCTGCTTGGGCAAAAGCCACAGTTCAGTTCTGCAGGTTCACACTTAAAAATTTCAGCTGTTAAAAAACAAAACCAAAAACAAACAAGCAAAATACCCCACACAACCACAAAAAAAACAAAAACAAAAAAAACCCCACCAAAACCACACACACACACAAAACCCCCCCCTCCCAAAAAAACCCAAAAAAACAAACCAAACATATGGTGCAGCAGACAGATGCCTTTCTTTCCTTTCTACAATTCTTCATCTAAGGGAGGAATACGTGTCATCTCCTCATGGCTGAGTTCCATTCTTTTCTCACAGCCAGCGAAGCTAACCAGACAGAGCAGACTGAGGCGCAGGGAAAGTTCAGTGAAACCGCTCCGAAGGTTGGAAAGGAGTGAATTGGAAGAGGGAAAGGTCTTCCACCTGTACAGCTTGCTCTGCATTACCCAGTCCCACCAGCCAAATCACTGCTTTTAAGGCAAAAGACAGATTTTGTGGTGATCACTAAGCAATACAACAACACCTGGGGATAAGGGATATATGAACATAATAAAGCAGGTCATTGTACAAAATGTGCTACTCTCAGTGTCTCTGTAAATGAGGACAGACATCACATGAGGTACAGTCTCTCAGATTCAAACCAGCTAGGATCTAGATTTTGTACTGTAAGTGCCCTCCACACTATCATCTCCCAGAGAAACAGGAGGTGATGGTACCCCTCTTCACATTTTCTCATCCAAAACCTCCCCAGCCTTCAGAGCAAAATCTCTGACTTACAAAATACCAGATTGAATGCTTCATAAATTCCTATGAGAATAGTAAGCTTTCTTGCACCAGAGGAGTGGGGTTTGAGCTGTTCTGTCTCTGTGACTCTCACTCTTGGGGCACTAGCTTCCCACATTTCTGAGGGTTTGCCTTGACAGACTGCTGTTGGACCACACGTGCTCTGCATGCCCTTGTGTTCTTCTCCCTGAAGGCATTAAATATGGAGCAGCCCCATCTGCCGTTCCATTCTTTTGCCGTGCATACTCCAGAATAACAGGACTCTGTAGCAGCGAGGGAGGAGAACAGGCTGTGAAAAGAGAACAAGCACAAAAATAAATTTTGTAGAATTAAAATTTGTTCATAATCCAACTAATTATCAGGGGTGTTTCTCCAGGTATATGAGATTTCAGCTCAGGATATCAATGCTAGTCAGGAGAGACAATAACATTCAGAATTTAAGTAGCAAGAGGATTTTCACCTTCAGACACTGAAAACGGGATTGCAGAAGTCAGATCTAACTATAGAAAACACAGAACTGTACACCTGCATATCTTTTCTTAGATTCCTGATAAGATGACTTGCTGCTTAGACTGGGTTGATCCCCTGAGTCCATCAGCATATCATGTCCTAGTCCTTCAGGGAGCCGCAGAGGAGCTACAAATAATCGATTTTAGGTTTTTTCTCCTAGATGAACAAATTCCACAAGTGCATGAGAACACATGATACTGTCAAGCATGCCAGAGGAACTAATTCAAATCAAAAAGGCACAATGTCCCCCTTGGGAGAACAAGAGGAGGTGTGCAGGACACCTGCTTTCACTGCTGTGGTGCACGAGAGCCTGAGGTTGAGGCGATGACCTTCGGGACACCCTGCAAGGTTCAGCTGCTTACCCAGCTCTTCCCTGCAGGTGTGAGGAAGGGTTGTATGAGTTATTGCACGTGTTTTGTTGAAGTTGGTGATTTTTTGGTGTGTGTAGTTCACTCTTTGCTTTCAGATTACAGATTTCATCTTGTCATTTATAGCAATTTTTTTTTCCATAAGGATAAAAACCAGAAGTATGTTTTATAACTTTCTGACTATTATTCAAAAATTTCTTTTTGTACATACTTCTTAGAAACATTAATTAACTTTTAGAAAAATCTTGATAATATATTGGCATGTAATTTGCAAAATCATAATTAAATTAATATATTTATATTTTTACTAATAAGAGAAGTGATTTTAAATAAAAAATAGAGAATTCAGTTGTCTGCTATGAGTTACACTAATCCATAAGTATTCAAAAATGGCCATAAATTGAAGAAAAATCACAAAGCTTAATAAAAATAAAGACATTAATACAAGTAGTCTAACATAAAAATGCATTATTTGCTATACACTATATCTTTCCTGTTTTTAAAACATATCATTCAGTCAAGAAGCAAAGTGCATAGTTTAGATGATTAGTTACATACATCAGAGAATGAATATCAAGGTAGAGAGTAAAAGAATATTTATATACTGAATGCTGTTTGATAGAGAAAACAAAACACAAATGTGTTTGATATTACAGCAAGCTGTTCAGGAGCCTCCAGAGCTCATTACAAGAATGCACTAAACAATAGTTAGCTTCATTTACTCAACAAAACAGAAAACTGACATTAATTTTGGATAGATATTTCTCACTTATTCACTTTCATTATTCACTCAACCAGATCGTGAATTTTTGAAGGCATAAGCAGATTTAACTTGAACATTTCAAACAGCATTAAATGTAGGTGTCACTTAAAGAGTCCTTAAAACATCTTACGTCAGTGTAACTGAGATCGATTTTAGGTACAGCTGTCAGCTAAACAAAGGAAACAAAATTATTGACAGAGTTTACTTTGTAATTCAGATTCATTTTCTGTTTTGTTGTCATCTGTGCATGATTGCTGCATCTCTTTTCCAGAATAGTACTGTTCTGTTCCAACATCTTTTGTGCTCTAAGATGCCAGCATAGAGCTTCAGAATTTGTTCCAGTAAACAGATTCCTCCAGCTCAATAACACTTCTCTTGGTTTGTTTGATGAGGCCGAGGTCAGGAAACAAAAGGATTTTGTTCTCCAGATACTGGATATTGCATTGCTAGAGTTGCTTTCAGCAGTCTATCGTGTTCTCCTATTTCAAACTTAGATGGAATAAAAACACTCCCACTGTTGTTCACAGTCACGTTCTCCTCACTTGTATTCTACAGCACTATTCCCCATAAAATATGTTCTTCCTCAATATCCCTTTCCAGAAGTTCAGTTTGAGTTTAATATTTGAAATAGGATCTATTTGGCCTGTACCAGAGGGGGGTTGTGCACAACTCCAGACCTCGTTTGGTTTTCAGTTGCTTCCTCCCTTTTGTCTAGTGACACACATTTCACAAAGGAATTCAGACACCTCAGACACTTTCTCCACCTGCAGCCCATGAAATTTTAAAGGTACTTTTAGGCTCTTTACTTTCCCTTATCATGGAAATACAAGCCCTCAGGAAAAAAAGAGGAATAGATGTACAGCAGGAGAAACTATTTAGCTATCTTACTATAATCTGCCCACATCCAGTGGTATCTGAACTCAGAGTTCCACAGTATGGGCACATGCTTCTGATACAGCCCAGACCACACCATGTAGAGGCCCCAGTATGTACTTCTTATCTAACTCTTCGTGATGCCTGGTTTGCCAAGCTCTTTTTTTAAAATATATATCCAGAAGCAATTATTTTAGTACCCCGAGTCTTTACCAAAAGACTGCCTGTTGGTATAGATAGAACCACACTTTCATCACAGTGATGCACAAAATTAAACTTATAATAATTTTAAACTATATTTTAATGATATTTTCTAGACTTAAAAAACATAGCTTAATGATAACTGAAAAAAAACCCCACAAAAACACAATCAAAGGCAACACCACCAATCAAAGCATTTGAACTTTAATTTTTTAAACATTTGACAATAAAGAACCATCACAATTTAATACATAGTTCCTCAAATATTTCACAAATACCATCATCTTTTCCCATTAGAGTTCCACAACAGATTACCTGCCTGCTGCAAGGAGTAATTTATTTTATTCTTATATCAGCTGATTGCAAGCAAACCTTTCCTTAAAATTCTTGACAGGAATTCTGTCCAAAGAAGCCTCTGTAGCAATGATGTTAGGTGTAGCTCTGTGCTGAGAGAGCTGTGCAGAGAATGCATTGCATGCACTGAGAGACAGCTGCGTGGGGTTCTCACAGGGGTGTGTCTGCTCTGTCTCTGGACAGGAGAGGAGCCATCCAAGGGAGCTGCAGCAGCCGCACTCCCCCCTGCCACAGGCTGAGCACTGCTCACATCCCGAACTGACAGAGCTGAGGCTTTGGACAGCACGCTTCCTTCATATTCAACAAGCCTGCTATGTATTTGGACAGTCTGCTGTGTGTATGTTTCCGCTGCAATGTTCTGTTGTTCATGATGTCATGACAAAACAAATTTAAATTGATAGTTACAATAATCTATTACCATTTATTTTCAGAAATTTTAGCAAATGCATGTTTTTTGCATAGGCTGTTCATAACAAAACAGATTCGTAATCTTTTATTCCCCTGCAGGCAAAGACTTTCTGGCTGAAAAACATCTCTGGCTTCCAATTGGAGAAGCAGGCAGAAAAGAGAGGATCATTTTAATTCCCTTTTGTAAAATACTGTGTCCTTGTCTTAGTCTTGAGATCGGCAAGATACTTGGGGAATATATCCTTTTAGACATTCATCAGCTTCTCTATCACAAGATTTATGGTCTCTCTTCTTAATCTCTACAATTGAGGTATGTTAATCTTTTACATAAATCAGTATATAAAAGTGTGGATTGATTAATAAATTAATTTTTCAGAAATCAAAAAGCACAACAACAGCCTTTTGTCTTTCCCAGACCTTTATTTTGATATGCATGCTAACCCATAGCATAAATGTGTCAGCATTCCACATCACTAGAAATATACCTCTTCTCATGTGAATTTTCAGACTGTTGTGCTGAATAACATAGGTGAAATGTTATTTTAAGGTCTGAAATTTTCATGTTCTGAACAGCCATTGTGTGCATTCAGGAGAAAAAGCAAAAAAACTTACCAGTAAAATTACATTTCAGGTAAAAGTTCAGGAAGGAATTATTTCTTCAGATTTTCCCTGTAAAAATAGGAATACATTTTTCTGGATATGTATTATTCTATTATTTTAACTATTTGTATATACTTGTTATGTTTCACTATGGACAAAGAATTAAAAGACTTTTAATTAGAGGTCATGGATGGACCAGTTTTGATGACTCAGACATAAGATGAGCAAGTTTATTTACTGCTTGGAGAGCTTCTCATCTGATTCACATAGTCAAGAGCCATCTTTATATAAAGTCCTTGGCCATTTTCCTGGGAATGTACAACTGCTGCCACAAAGACTCTAGCTACATACATACACAAGTTGATTTTAACATTTTATGGTACTGGGACTGTACCTTATGTTGTTCCACAGTCTACATATAATCCTGAATCAATTCCATGTGCTTCAGCATAGTTTTTATCCCTTATGCAAAAGATGGATATGGGACATTTTATATGATTAAAATTCTGCTGTGAACTAGTCCTCCTGAAAGGAATACCTCTTAAGATAGACAAGTGTCCTGGAGTCTCCTCTTGCATTCCTGTCATTACAGATGTTCCTCTTCCGTGGCTTGGCCCTTGCTGCTCACTGACAGTCCTGATTAGGGGCTGGTAGAACAATACCAGACTTGCTCCAAGGACAGCAAAAATGCTTGCAGAACTGATTGTTAATTATATGGTGGCATTTTCAGGGAATTCTCTAGAAAATAACCTTGGAGCAAGACATCTAGCATAGTGAAAACAACAACACACAAGTCAAGCACATACAAATGTATTTCTGGGATTCCTACAAACTGCTTAGCTGGTAAACTAGTCATGCTTTTGTCTTTTCAGTGCTAAGACAAGATTGGATGAAGTACCATTAGGTTTTAACTGAAAATTAAAAATATTTGAGTAAATCAAGGCATTGCTATGGATAGACTTTAACTCTCATGAAATGTTGTACAGGTATTTTTTTCCACCATCATGATGAAGGCTGATGGTGCTAATGGGATAGGCTATGAGAAGAAAAGATTTAAAAGTCCTGTAGCCCATCCCAATAAATCTACCTCTGGCAGATATGAGCAGACAATCTCTAACTTAAAGAATTAATAAAGGATGCTGTAAAAATGCATGTGTATTTACAACATGCCTGTTTGCATCTGCAAACTGACTTAAGTAAAATAATGATTTAAACTGCCAAGAGAAGAACCTTTGCGTAAGTCTCATTTTGAAATGCATCTGAAAACAGTCAGAACCACTTAGGATTTCTTAACTGCCAGGGGTGACAGTTATCTATTATTGATGGAAAAGATGAGCTGGGCAGAACCATCTCTTAATATGGAAACACTGATCCTCATTCCATTAATTTAGAATGAGAATTGCTCATACAAAATGAAAATATGCTGCTCCAGCTTCTACAAGTCTGAACCTAATAAAAAGATATTGCATTAAATTAATTTTGAATACCTTCTCCTGACTATTATGATAGTATTTTGAAAGAACATATATCTATCCCATGTATTTTGGAAGACAACATATTAAATCCTCTTCTGACATATGGATTCCTTCCTGTCTTGGCCACATGAACACACACAACCACACTACTCTAGGGCAATTACATTACTCAGTCAAAAAATACTCACAACAAGCCTATCAGTGAGAATAACTGTATTTTATTACTAGACCCTAGTGGAAAATATAATGCATCTTACACAGTTCTTCTAATCTACCAGTGATTTTAGTTTTCTGTCCTAAAATGTAAGCTAACAATAATTGTTATTTTTGCAATATTTTAATATTGTACTTCATCAAGGTTTACTCAGCTTAACACCAATACCAATACCTGAATGACCTTATTTAATGTCACTAAATGTGGTGAAAAAAGTTGTCAACTCAGCACAGATTACTTAAAAGACAAGGTGGAAATTCCTCAAAGGACCAGCTTGTTCTTTTCCACTAAAGAAAAAATTCTGTCTTGGGAGTCAGTACATGCAGGATTTTTCCCAGGTTAAATACTTTCTACCTTTTTCTGAAGGAAAGCAGAACTGCAGGTTCTAGCTCTCAACTTCCACAGGAGTCTGTGGAACCCCAGCAAGATGGAAAATATTTCAAAGGAAAAAATTACATCATGTGGCAATTTTACAGACCACTGTCCACTCTGTACAAGGAATAAGGTAAAACACATTCTATTTTTCCTTTAAAACCATATTCTAATGATAAAAGTTTAGCCAAATGCTGATTAATCCAAGGAGATAATTTGGACTTTGAAAAAATACATTTAATCACTTGTGCATATCTTGTCCAGTTGGCCCATCATAATGTCTTGAGGTTCAGCTCTTTATCTAGGAACTAACTGTCAATATATGAGTAGCAAAGCATCCATGCTTCAAAAAAGAAAATCCACATATTCATTTTATAGGATTGTTTGATAGTTTTACAATTCCGTATCAGCAAACTGAATGCACATCACTGAATTTACTGAACTGAATTAAAGGTGACCATAGGTGTTACTATGGTAACTCTTGCACTTAAAAGTTCTAACAAAGAGGAGAAAACTCCTTCTAGCCCTGTTGTCATAGAAAGTCAACATTTCTTGCACAGGGCTTCTGATCCTGAAAAGTGCTATTTGAGTGCTCAAATTATGTTAATCAGATTTATTAATATACTAAACAGAGAAAATGTGTAAGAGGGGAAGAGAGAACCATATCATGTGAATATAAAATAATTAACAAGATTAGTGGTGGCTGTCATTAGTAGCAGGTGTTAAATGGTTTCAAGCAGAGCTACACCTTGAACATTTAATTTAATTCCTCCTCTACATTATATCTATGATTTCCTATTCACCTTCACTCAAAGGCATTGCAAAAGTCAGTGCAGATGCTTCTGTGACATTGGGTGTATAGAATGGGTATGCTATTATAACTCTAGCATGATCTGTGTTCAACTTTAAATCAAGCTTGAAATCACTTGCACTTAAAGGACATGTAGATATGGTGCTTAGGTACATGGTTTAGTCATGAACTCGGCAGTGCTGAGTTAATGGTTGAAATCTATGAACTTTTTAAAGTGTCTTTCCAGCCTAAAAGATTCTATGATTCTGTGGCTTGATTACAGCTAGCAGCATTCCGGAGCAGCACAGTCTTACCTCTAAGAGGTGCAAGGATTTACAGAAATTTTCTTGGATTGTGTTACTGTTTAAGATGAGAGAGATTGGAAGAGTTTCTCAGTGCAAGGAAATAAAAGTTGCTCTGGGATGTCATTAAGGTGCACTAACTCACAGCATATGTAGAATGCCTTAAATCAGGGAGTAACTTGAAGGGGTGTAAACCAACTTTATGTATGTGACATACAAATATCTACATCATAAACCTGTATGATTGCATGCAGCTCGACACACAACATATATCTGTATGATACACAGGTAAACAAAATTTATATTTAAAAATTTATATTAGGAAAGAAGCTAAAGTGGTAAATACCAGCTAAAACAATGGGCAATACACTGACATATAGCATAATTTAAAATGTAAGATGAAAAAATCTCCTTAAAAGGCACTGAAAGCAGAGCAAATATTTGTAATTCCGTTCTATACAGTAGTCTCCTTTAGAGGCTTAAATGGATATTCATATGAATTAGCAGTAAAAATGAGTACTTAGTTAAAATGCACAGTCAAATTTTCTGTTGTCATTGCATCATTATATAAAATGAATTAGCAGGCTCCAAAAGTTTCACCATTTTGGCATAGCTTTCATAATTCCTAGATATTTTTAACTGACACAGATGTCTATGAAATATTATTTATGCTAGGCAGCAGTTTATGAACTGTAGTGGACAGAATAAAAAACTTGAATAATTTTATTAAATTAAATTTTATATTAAAGTATTATTTTTGTATTAAAGTATTATTTTTGTTGTCTTTGTCATTGTGTTGTCTTTTCAATGTCAAGTTCTAAAAAATATATCTTAAAAAAGAAAAATTTTCTTGTGGATGAGGAATTCAGTCTTTTTATGTTACTAAAAACAATATTCCAAATAACCATGTTTAGTTGTCCTTAAAAACCCCACCATTCTCTCAAATGTCAGCATATATTTGATAGTACAGGACTGATCTGACTTTATTGAATAATTGTATTTGATATTAGATACAAAACTTGTTGACATTATTTAACAACAGATGTGATTATTTCTATCTATTACATATAACATTATATGTTTTCAAATGATAATGATTTTCAAATATTAAGAAAATAACCTTATCCATCTGAACCACGGTTGGTTTCAGCTTTATAATGGCCCAGATTACACATTCCTATAGGAAGAATATAAATATTCTCTATTAAAAAAATCACAGTTAATATAAAAGATAAAATCAAGATGCCTTAGTCTAAGACTCTTTGGGAATTCCCTGTTATGCATATTATAGAGCTCCTACCACATGAAACTGATTTTAAATACAATCTTCAGTGATCTAAATATCTATTGACTTCTTAAGTAAGTAGAAAAATCACTGCCGACAGCATGAAGTTACTTTGAAAATGGCTTTAACCTATACTTACCCTGGAGGTTTATACCCCTTTGGGATTCAGCTTCTTCTGAAGTAATGCCAGGAATGCAAATATCATAGACTTGGTCTTCTAATATCAGCCAGGCAAACAACCCAGGGAATAACAGATTTTACATATTCCATAAATACATCTCTTCCATAACTGAAGACAGGGAACTCCACGTTCCTAGTGTTAAATAAAGACAGTTTCTTCTCCTGTACCAAAATCTGTTAGATTTGATTGTGAGAGCAGGGATGCATTTATGTAAAGGTGGAAAAAAAGGAAAGTATATTATGAGAGGTTTAAAAGTAACATTTTTCACTCTCAAAAATTATGGCATCAATAATATCAATATCAACATCATTAAATGCATTGTGATCAAAGAATGTTGGCCTAAAAAGCTCTGACCAATGTTGCATTTGTTGCACTGAGGATGCTGAGACAGAGTCACCTGCACAAAGTGTTGTTGTCAGGGGCAATTATTCACAGCCAGTGGGTTACAGTACTTCTCATGTTGTGTTACTTTTTGGGAAGAGGAGAGAGGAGAAAAAAGACTGCAGCATTCACATACCCTCTGAACAGAGAGACTTAGCTTTCTCAGGATTTCTCCTGAGATAAACAGGAAGAAGAGAATCAAAACAATTCTTATCTCATTTGCTGCTCCCTGTTTGTGCCCATGTAGAATGTGGTATGGAGATTGTTTACCCAAGGTGATTACTTAATTAAATTCTAGTGTTACTTGTTTAAATTCATAGACCAATTAGGTCCAACAGCTGTGTCAGGACTCTCAGTAGAGAGTCGCGAGTTTTCTAGTTAACCAGTTAGTGATTGTTCTTGTTAGTGTAATATAGTGGAATATAGTTATAGTATAATATGGTATAATAAAGTAATTAATTAACCTTCTGAAATCATTGAAGTTCGGAACTCATTCTTCCCAGGCGCGGCGCGTCGCTTCTGCGATAAAAGAGAAAAAAAAGCAGCCAACTGAGGAGCGGAGGGATGTCAGATCTTCCGACGAGCGCCGGCCCCTGGGCAGCTGGTACGGCCCCGATCCCGCTGTCCCTGCGGGGACCCCCGGCTGCCCTCGGGAGCTGCCCCAGGCCCCGCGATATTCGGTGCTTCTGAGGACAATGTCAGGCTGCAGGGAGTGCTGAGTGCTCTGTGCACTCCCTCGCGGGTCCCCTCGGCTCAGCAGACACCACAGCTGAGGGGAGAGACAAGAGAGGGAAGGGTCAGTCTGGCAACTGCTGGTCACTCCTCAGGAGAACCACCACCACCACAGCCCCGTGCCTGCTGGGGTGAGGCTGGGGGAAAAGTAACATGACAGCAACCATGTGGGGCCAGAAAGGAAAAGGAAAAAGGACTGAGGCTGTGGGACAGCCCGGGACAGGAGCACCCAGCTGGGAGGAAAGGCAGCATCCAATAGGGCCAACAGAAGACCCTCAGTAATAGAGAGGGGAAGGTACCCAAAGTGCTGTGCAACACTGGGGAACACAGATTACGTAAAATAACAGTCTATCTACACATTGCTGCACATTCTAAAGCTTTTTTTGCATCTGCCTTACATGATATAACATATATAAATGAAACTTCATAAAACACCTGTGTCATCCTTGATGCACTGAATGCACACATTCCATCACAGTCATCTTCCATACCCCTCCCAACCTAAGTCAGAGGTATACCCTCTTTCTGTCTACCTGTGCTAAAACCAGCATAGAATATGTTGCCTGTTTTTCCTGGACTGAGCGAATTTAGCACCTTTTGTCAGAGGCACAAAGTACATGTAACACCACTCTGTCTCTTCTTTTGTGACACATCAGTGTTCCTTAATAAAATGGAAGAATTCAAAATTATTTCTGGTTCAATGAAAACAGATGTAAAGAGTTAACAGCCAGTACAAATTTATTTCTGTGTCTCATAGAAGTGTTTTAAATTAATGTACTTCAGAAAAATAAAAATAATCATGAGACACTTCAAGATGGATTATTTCAGTGTAAAACATTGGCCTAAGATTGGGCATGCCACAGTTTATTTATAATCTGCCTCAAAGACCTGTAATAATTCATGTAGAGACACAATCCCAAAGGAGCTCAGTGCATGACTCCCATGGGATCTGGTCTGAATCATACTGTTCATATCTATATTATCCCATAGGACAGAGGGTGGGATAACAGCAAGAATATTTCCTGACAGACTTCTGTTCCCTATCTGCCTCACTCAGTAGCTGGTCCATGGCCACCTTGATCAAAGGATGAGGCTGCATGGGCTCCAGAGACCTACAGACCCCAGGTGTCTGTGTGTGCCACACGGGATATAGGGCCACTGCAACTTCCACACCAGTCTCACTCTCCTTGGCTGTCATGTCCATTCTCCATCAGGCACAGAGCACACCCTGTGAGAAGGGCTGTTACTGAATATTGTCATGGACTCAGCCAGGATGCAGAGGTACCAGCATATCCAGCTGCTCTTGGAGTTATGTAGCTCTTGGGGATCCCCCAGTAGGTGTCTACAGTGGAAATGTCTGCATATAGACATGTGTCTATAGGGAAACATGTCTGGTCATCTGAAAGCTTCCCTGAGCTCTCTGCCTGCAGTGGTTAGGTCTTCATTGATTACAGCAGGGTTGATTACATCAGTTTTACACTGTTTTACACTTAAATAATCCATCTTGAAGTGTCTCATGATTATGTTCACTTTGTTCAGGTGAGGATTCTTACAGTGCAGACACTGAAACGTAGGTCAAATCACACTCCTAGATTTCTTGCCATGGTGTACACTTGCATTTGGAAAATCTGAACTAGAATTGAGACATAAAACAACACACAAAATGCACCACAGATGTGTGTTCTCAGTTCCCTTTGGCAAGCGAGAAGAAAATACTTCTTCTGCCTCACAGTGCTGTTTTATGACAAAAAAGATAAAATATATTACAGGCAGTAGTACAAAAAAAAGTGAACTATTAAACTTCCTCCTTATAGATAGAAGGGACAAATATTTTAGGAAGGCATTGAAATTTCTAGCATATTTTCTTAGTCCTTGCACGTTATGTAAAAATTTATATAATGCAGATTTGGATGAAAACTATTGGTTACCATTTATTGATTTTTCCAGTAAAAGCCTATTCTTAGGCAGCTGCAGTAGAGCCTGATAAAACAGAATCACAGAGTCACAGAATGGGTTTGGTTAGAAGAGACCACAGTGGTCATCTGGTCCAACCTCCCTGCTCCAGAAGGATCATCCCAGAGCACATTGTACAGGATTGTGTCCCGGCAGTTATTGAATATTTCCAGTGAGGGAGACTCCACAGCTTCTCTGGGCAATCTGTTCCAGTGCTCAGTCACCAGCACAATAAGGAAGTTCTTCCTCATGATCAGGTGGAACTTCTTGTGCCTCAGTTTCTGCCCATTGCCTCTTGTCCCATTGCTTGATAGAAGAGCCTGGTCCATCCTCTTAGCACCCTCCCTTCAGATACTGACAGACACTGACAAAGTCCCCTCTCAGTCACCTCTTCTCAAGGCTGAACAGTTCCGATGCTCTTGTTGACACTGCTAAGACAGAAAAAGCTAAGCAGGCTAGCCAATTTCAATGCATTCTTGATGGTATTTTTAGTATGAGATCACGTGTTAATGCTGGTTAAATCTTTAATTACATCCTTTGGCCCATTTTCTTGTAAAAAGATACTGGAGAGAAAGCACTTTTTGTCTATTGTTTTCTTATTTAACACCCACTGGAAGACTCCGAGGTTTAGCATATAGGGTTTTAGGATTTAATGCTTTAAGGTCTTACTTACCCTGTTAGAAATTTAGTGCTGTTTCACTCTTGAAACTGTTCTACCTGTAAATCTGAGAGTATGACCCAAGCTTTTTTTCTCAAGACAATGTTTATTAAAAAGATGAAAACCTTGTTAGTTGAGAGGAAACAGTAAGCAACACTATTCTGAGCTCCGTATCACTTGAGGAGGTGGCAAAAAATCAGATATTCTATTACACAGAAATATTTATTTTACTTCCCTGGCTCTTTCTCTTGATGGGCTATCAATTTTATAAAACAGTCTTTAAGGGAACTTTCAGACTTAGTATTCAGATTCCCTAGGACTTCTAGTCTCAACCAAAGGAAAAAGCCTGTGGCCTATAGTATTCAAAGGCCCTTTTATCCCAGTCCTTTATACTCTGAATAATTTTGAAGGTGAATTGTAAGGGACCTCATCACCATATCAAAGATGCCAGTCAGAGATTCTTCAGAATTTCACTAATGCAATGTTGACCAAGAGATATCATTTGGCTGAGGAAAAAGTTGTCTGTATTTTTTTAATCACTGTCTTTTGCAGTTTTGCCCATGTCTCCACTTCGGGTCCTCTCTGCCTTTCTGTAAGCTCCAGACAAATTCCCCAATTTCCCTTCAATAAATTCAAAGGTTTTAGGGGTCCCTTTGATCTTGCCAGCACTTGGCTGAGCATAAAACAGTGAATGCTTTGGATCCTAATTTGCATGTCAGCTACTCTGGCTTGACATACCAGGTAGTATCAAGCTCACTCTGCCTTTGAAGCAGCAGTGTTTGATTTTCTTTCATAGTTTAACTAGATATGAACCGACAGATTAAACTTAGCCACGGAAGGGCAATGGCTAGGATATAAATCCTTTAGACCTCCTCCGCTTGGTGGAGTGTCTGGTTGATTTGCTTTAAATATTTCTTCAAGTGGGACTTGAATTAGTGTGCAGAGGTGTGTCTGGTTTCTTTCTGTGTTATGTTGGAACTTTGCAGGAAATAGCAGATCCTGGTCCTACTTGTTCAGGCAATCATTTACAGAATTATTCCTTCTGAATTGTCTGTAAGGGAACAGATAAAGAAAAGGAGAGATTCTGGCTCTCATGAGTACTAGGTTAAATACAACTCTGACCTCTCCTGAGTACCTGTAGCCTTCACTGGCTACAGTCCATGATTGTCCCTCTCTCTGTCTAGGCTTCAGGCTGCTGTTCTCATTCTCAATCTCAGTGGCTTCAGCCTCTCTATACGTATCTCATTCTTCCAGTTCCCTGTTCTTTTGATGATGACACAGCAGTGCACACCACCTTCAGCATTTATAAGTAATAAAGCATGGTGGGCAAGGAAGTATGTAAGAGAGACAGAATTTAAACTAATGAAGATTTTGCACAGGTCATTGGTATTTTCCCATGTGGGGATCCTTCTGGTCTACATTTTTCCTACCTCTTTCAGACCCTCCTCCTGCTCTGTCTGGGAATCATAATCAGCTTTCTTAGCACATAAATCAATTACCTCCCTATCAATGGAAACCAACAAGCCACTGGAAGAGCATTAATCCACAATGAGGCTAGTAATTGCATTAGTAGGTTTTTTGGGGGTTTATTTATTTAAACCAGGCATATTTAGTTATGGTAAATAATACTTGTTATATTGTTACTTGTTTAGGTCAAACTGCAAAGAGACGTAAAAATCTCATGAAATTCCAGGCAGAGATTGTTACCCTGACTTTCTCGAAGACTTTCTGTCCTGGATGATATCAATGGAAAACTGGTAAACATATAACATCATACCCAACTGAGAGAGGAATGGTGTCGAAAAGTCACAAAAGTTTAAATTACAGGAAAAAAAAAAAAAGGAAAACTCAGTAGTACGCAGAACAGTGAAGATACCCTTATTTTGATGGTACTACAAGCATATATTTAAAGTGGTTTCATTAAACTGTAGTTTCCAGGCAGAAATTTCTGAACTGAATTCAATTACCTAATTTCAGTCAAATATAGCTGAAACTATATACATGGAGCATAACCAAAATTTGTGGGTTTAACACATCTGGACTTGTGGACTCAACATGAAACACTACAAAATGTTACCTTGAAGAAAACAGTCCCTTAATAATTATAGAATCATAGAGTCATTTAGGTTGGAAAATACCTTTAAGATCCTTGAGTCCAACCATTAACCCAGCACTGCC